GGTGTAGGCCCTCCATGGCAAAAATCCCCCCCCCCCCCAAAAAAAAGAAAGATGAAAAACCTATTAAACTTTTAACTGGCCATAGCACGGCCTAATCAACGGTAATAGCACAAGTACCTCCGCGGTCAGGAGTCTCTGCGGACATCTGTTAACTGCAGCAAACACCCTGCGGAGTCCGGCCTCCAGCTGAGTCAGCAGCAATATGGTGCAGTCGGCAAACCTGTGGCCAGAGCACAGCCCGTGGGGCTGTTAGGGAACTGCTGGCACCTGCATCCCAGGTGCGGGCGAGGTCCAGACGCAGCTGCACAGAGCACGGGGTCAGCACACACTCGCTCCTCACTCAGCTCGCTGTCCAGGGCACGGAGAGCCGTTGCCAATAGCTTCCTAGAGTGAAGTGTCACAAAGACCTGCCTATCTTGTCTCATTCCATCACTTCCAAAAAATACTCAAAAACTAGGACTGGGGACCAGCAGTTAGTGTAATGGCTGTGTTGCTGGACTCCCACGTAGTCAACCGCAGTTCAAGTCTTGGACCCGGTGGCTTAAACTCATGCCGGGCGCGTGTGCGTGAGTGCCCAAGATCCCAAGGGGAGAATGGAGGAGAAGGGATTGAGGCATGACCATCCCCTCTGGGGGGTGATTTCTCGCTTTCTATCTCTATCTGTGTGGCAAGCGCTCGTGCCCTATAGCAAACAAACAAACAAACAAACAAAAACTCTCCAGGTAACAGCCTGACAGGCACGGTAGACCACGCCCCCCACCTGGTCTCTTGGTGCCTGTGCCCATCCTACTACAGAGACGACATAGAGCAGACCTGACAACAGAGCTCTGTCTCGTCCCGGTGTGTTCACGCTGACATGGCACAGCGGTGCAGCGAGGACACGAGCACCAACCACGCCGACCCCCGGAGGGTGGGAGTGAGGTCTAAGCCGCAGTGGCCAGCACTGCTTAGCAACCGCAGGGAGACACTGCATGTCCCATTGCCCGACAAGCCCTGACTGGCCCGGGAGGCCGCTCCACTTACCTGCTCGCCTTGAACCTGGTCAGAGCAGCTTCCCAGTAGGGCAGCATGGCTGTCAGGACGAACGTGGACTTTATCATGGCTGCTTCCAGCACCGAGAGCAGCTCAGAAGTAACACCTGCAAAATGGCAGCTTCGGACCAGTTGCCACAGCGGGCAGAGCAGGTGGGAGCAGAACCCTTTAGGGAGAGACCTGCACCCCCATGCAGCACTGCCCCACAGGAGGGTGCCCTGACATAGAGGCAGAGGTGCAGGTGGCTTCGGCACCCTGGCACGGGGACAGGGACAACTGCTTCTCTAGTGGGCACATGACGACCTGCCCCACAGAGCCCCGGCCTCGGACGCCGCAGAGGCCTCGTGCCAGCAGACTTCGGACGTGGCAATACGTGCACGGCACGGCAGGGCAGAGGGTGACCCCGCACTGTCTGTACGCAACACAGCCCAAGCCAGGCCAGGCCCACAGCCGCTCTGACTCATGCCAACTTGATGCTGATGCCCACCCCCTAGGGCATGCGGCAGAGACGGCACGATGTGGTCAAATTCAAGAGGTCCTCTGAGCCACCTTACAGGATGTCCTGCCACCAGAGCACAGCCTTGAACCTGGCCAGAGCACTGCAGGAGCTCAAGCTATGATGCCACTTACTCTTACAGACACTGCCAGAGACATACGAGGGAGGCTGTGAAGGTGGCACAGCCAGAGACAAACGAGGGAGGCTGTGAAGGTGGCACTTGCCAGCAAAGACAGTCAGGTCCTCCAGGTCCGTGAGCGTCAGGAGAGGCCGACGTACCCAGGGGAGCCCGGTCTGCTGAAGGTGACTCCGCAGGAGCTGCCCCAGCCCCACCGTCAGCAAGAGCATCACCGAGCAGTACCTGGGAGACGACACCAGTGTCTGTAAGAAGACAGTTCAGACACATGCACCAGGCCTCTGCTTTCGAGAGGAGACTGGAACGGAGGCAGCGGGGCACCATTAAGCCCCAGAGCCCGACCAAGGGCAGGCATCCGGCTGTGCTGTGTGGCAGGGAACAGCAGTTTGGTCAGAGCAGCCAAGCTGCACCTTGGGGTCTCCGCGCCCAGGGCCCTCTGTGCGACCTAAGCTCACGCGAGGAGCCACTGCACTGGGACCCGCCACCCCTCGAGGACTCGGCAACCAAACTCACACCGTATCTCACACCCGACTTGAGACAGCACAAAGCGTGTCTTTGGCTTTCCCGAAATCCACAGCCACGTGAACCCTCGAGCTTCAGGACCCAAAGGCGGTGCATCCAGCCACATACCTGGGGGGCACCTCCTGGGGGGCAGCAAAGCCGTGCCACAGGACGTTGCGTAGGTTGAGCCCACGGGGAGCACCCACAAAGACTCGGAGCACGTCCACCTGGCCAGGAGACAGCGGCGCAGTGGTGAACACCAGGCCAGCCTCTGTCCGCCCCACCACGCAGCTCGGACAGAGGTGCTCATCACACTTGTCCTCAGCACAGCAAGGGGCAGTACTGCTGTCCCCACTGCACGTGAGACAGGTCAGCTTCCAGCCACAGCCACGGGCAGGGACCTGACCCAGGCTGCCGCTCACGATGCCCCCAAACCAGATGCAGCGCTCGGAAGTCAGCCCAGGCAAGGGCCGTGCCTGCAGGAGATGAATGCCAAGTCTGGGCTCCGGGTGTGACCCACGGCCTCAGGGCCTGCCCCACCCTCTGCCTGTCAACAGCAGCACAACACCCTGCTGGGGGCTTCTGGTTAGGGGAGTTGAGGAAAGGGGGCGTGGCTCAGAGATCTCCCGGAGAGCAGCAGCAGCTGCCCGTTCACGCAGAAGACTGCTGCCCAGAGGGCACGTGTGCCCTCCCCGACAGCCCCAGAGGGCGGCCCCGGCCCAGGGCACGTCAGAGAGGGGTCTCAGCCCCGTGTCGGCAGGTCTGGTGGCCGGCCCTCGTACTCTCCGCTGGTGTTGACCACTGCCTGCGCACGCGGCCTGCCTGAGCAGGGACACGCCAGCGACCGCACAGCCAGGGCCTGAGAGTGCTCGGGGCAGGCGGCGCTGACAGCGCACAGGCAGGTGACAAGGGAGGGGGATGAGACGAGTGTGTGACCACCACCGCTGGAGGCCGCGCTGTGTGCACGCTCATGTTCGCAGCGGAAGGGCGCGGGCTGCGAGCTGACAAGAAGCAAGGACCCACCAAGAGGGCGGGAGCACTCTGCCGAGGACAACCAGCCACGGTCACTGCCGGCTGAGCCCCTCACCTCGACCCGCCTCAGCTGGCTAGAGGCCTTCGGCAGTCTGAGACCTCTGCTCACAGGCCCCATTGGAGGTTTTGAAGTACGCAGGTCTGCACGATTTTTTACCAGTATATATATGCATTTTTTTTCACCGAAAGTCTAAATGCACAAAGGGCATTCTTCTCCAATGCTAAAAATAATGACGTTTACAATAAGCGTCCTTTCACCATTTCAAAAGGTGAGAATTTTATTCTGGAGTAGTCCTTAACCTATCACTGCTTAAGCAACACGCCTCAGACCATCCCTCTGCCAGCACCCACAGGCCGTGTGCCCCGGTGACGGTGACCCTCTGGCCAGAGAGGCCTGGGTATGGCTGAGGGGCAGTGTGAAAGGGGAGGTGGCAGGGGACGTGCTTGGACCACCGCCACAGGTGAGTCTTCTCTAAACGGCAGCGGCCGGGAAGGAAGCAGCGCAACGTCACCCAGGGCCAAGCCACGCTCACGTGTGAGCTGCATGCGGACAGGCTTACCACGGGCCGCCCAAAAACTCCAGAGAGCTCCTCCGATGCAAGCAGGTCCCGTAACAGAAAGGGACAGTCCTTCCCGGTCAGCAGGA